TTATTCTTTCACTGATTAACGCTAAATTCATTATACATTGAACATGTTAGTTTTAGGTATAAATAATGATCCATTGATTATTCCTCGCTGACCGGACTTCTCCTTTAAAGCACCAGGATTTGACATTTTGAACCCGTGCAGTTAGCATTAGGAACCATCCCCACCCCGGGTGCAATCCCTGGAGGAAATCTCTCTCCGATTTCCAAAAGCTTGCTACTATTTCCACATCCTAAATGATCCATGGCAGACAAAGGTTGAAAACTCAAGACAGCTTTGGTCATCTCTCTTTACTTGAAAAAGCACCATATAATAGAACACGCTGTTTACCATTTTCTAACTAAGGAAGACCTAAGGAAGTCACTGACCTGCTGGGTTCTCTCCTCCTGGACCAACATAAAGAGATATTCACTTGCATTGTATCATCTACTTTACAGCATCCATCACTCTAAACATGCATATAGTGACAGTGGAGAGGAAAACCACAGTTTTAACAGGAAGAAACCTCCAGCAGAGCCAGAAGCAGGCTCAGGGTCAGCGGCCATCTGCTGAGGCTGAGCGAGTTCAAGGAGACATACAAGAGGGACATATGCCCCATTTACATTAACCCTCTGAAATTGATTCGTTCCGAATTCAGACCGAGCTCCGATGAGTTTGCCCCGCAGAGCTTGGTTCCTTACGACCATTTACACATCACGCTAGCATGGGTCCTTGCCTCTTATGGCGGCGCACGAGAACCTTGGTCTCAGCATCATCCCAGGCCACACCACACTCTTCTGATGCCATTTATTGTTAATAAGCTGAGAAGATGTTTGTGTTGTGAACAAGTGAAAAGATCTATGAATAGCAAAGCCGAACACGCCGGAAAACCAGCGAAATGAGTCAGCTGACTGTAAATAGGAGATGATGCGGTCTGCTGATGTGCTCTGTTATCAGGGAACTGAGTCATAGATGAACCGTGCCGAGCCCTACTGAAGAACTAGCACTAGTCAACAGTATCGGACCGTTCTCTGCACGGTTTTAAAAGGGGAGTGGAAATGGTTCTATAGAAGCACAAGTTTTAAAAGTAGACAGGCTGTCTGCCTCACGGACTGAAGCTGGTAGAAACTATTGGTTCTATTTGTCATCTCAATCAAACTATTTATTTTTTGCTGAAAGGCTTAAAACTTTTGTCAAATCCAGTAGTAAAACCTACCAAGAGCTAATCTCACAACTTCCAGTGAAACTTCCTATGGCAGGGATGGAGGAAGAGACACTGATGTTGTTAGAAGAACAAACCGAGTTTGTAGGAAGACGCAATGAAAAGAAATTATTTGGGCTGGAAAGGCTTAGTAATGGTGAGTTTTAATGATGTCATAGTAAATGAAGCGTTCATTAACTGGTATTGTGCTTCTATGACTTAACAAAAACTCCTCGAGCTCCAAGGATCTCAGAGTGGAGCAAGACGGGAGGAACCATGTAGGCAGTAGGCGTTGTTTGGCAGAGGGTTACGGAGGATGTCAGGCCTCCAGCACCAGTAAGGAGAAAAAAAAAACACAATATCTAAATCTGCACCATGAAAATTGATTGTATTTATAGTCTTATGCTAAAATTAAAGCAGTTCATTTTAAATCTATAGTTCTATTTTCCATTTCTTTCTCTTTTTGGTTATGAGATTTTGAGTTGAACCAGTGGGGGCTGGCCAATAGTGGGTGCCGCCCCATTCACCCATTGACCTTCATTAAAAAATTAAAAAACAAATAAAAATAAAATGATAAGAATTTCAATATTTCTATATATATTTATATATTTTTTAGATGTGTAGGATAAATGCTTAATCTTTAATGACGAGTAAAGCTGTTTGGTTGGTCATCAGATTGGTGACATATTTCTATAATTCTTCCCTTATAGACTCAGGTTAAAAGCTGTCCATGTGCAGTAGCTCCTCTTCAATGCTAAAGATAGGAGCAATGGCGTAACGACACAACAATAGGCCCGTAAGCAACATTAT